ATATATATATATATATATATATATATATATAAAGTTAAATATGCCTGGTGCAGTGGTGGATGCCTGTAACCCCAGTGGCTTGGGAGGCTGAAACAGGAGGATCATGAGTTCAAAGCCAGCCTCAGCAAAAACAAGGCACTAAGCAACTTAGTGACACCCTGTCTCTAAATAAAATGTTAAAAAGGGTGGGGATGTGGCTCAGTGGTTAAGCATCCCTTGGTTCAATCCCCAGTACTACCCCCCCCCCAAAAAAAAAGTTAAATATATTACCAGGCTTGAGGTGGAACATGGGGAAGGGGAATATTTGTACCCTCAAATCTCATAGCAATAGTCCCAGGGAATTCAACAGGCACCTCACTGTCCCTCAACTTCTCCTTTCAGCATCATTGAGTTTTCACTTCAACCTAATCAACTTGGGACTCTTAAAAATACACGGAATGAAAAAGGAAGATGATGATCACCCTGGTGCAAAGACCATCCCCCCAAGCCCCAGGTACAATCCTTGCTCCTCTGCTATTACCCTAGGTATGTTTATTTCATTCATTCATTCATTCATTCACTCATCATTTTAACAAATAGCTGTAAGGCTACTGCTAGAGGGCTTTTGAAATAGTTGTAGAAGGTCATGTTTCACATCCAGGTAAGGAATTCATAACCTTCTCTTATATAACCAACAAAACAAATGCTTAAAGTACACCCTGCAAAGGAATTCATTCTGCATGGATTTAAAATGTATAAAAATGAGCAATTTTCCAGCACATCATCGGTTGCAACTATTTGTAAGTCTCCTCTGTGGGCAAGTAGACTGCCAGCAATCAGCAAGACCAGCAGAAATGATGGATGGGATAATTGTCCATTAGAGTACAGATAACTTTTGTACCGTGGGAGGGTTCGACAGGGTAGAGACATGATAGATGGAGGAAGAGTTCACTAACGTGATAGGAGTTGCAGCTCCATTTCTCGTAGTAACAATTCTCTGGCTGAATCGATGATAAATCAAAGACGCATTCTCATTTGAAACCCTTTGCTCACCAGTGCACAACCTTTGCTTTGGGTTGAATTTAATAGCATCATTAAAAACTGCTGTTGAAGAAACTCAAATGACTTCTCCCCAGAAGTCATGGCATAAGAGAGCGCTTTTGTGGACTCTTCGAGGGCAGGGTCCATGTAGGGTGTGTGTGTGTGTGTTTTAAATATTAAAATCCTCAGTGACTAGCACAGAGGCTGACACGTACATTGCACTCACTAAATGTTTGCAGAGCAAGGTGAAATGAATTAATACATCAGTCTATTCATTCTTCTGTTTATTCCTCCAACAGACATTCATTAAGTAGGGGAATTAAGAGCTCTAGCCCTGCAAATAGACACTTTAGGCTTCGAATTCTTGCTCCAATCAGCTGTATGCACTTGCACAAATAACAGCCTCTCTGAGCCTGTTGCCTCCTGTGCAAAGTGGGAGACATATTAATACTTGCTTTTCCACAGCTGTGTGAGGATTAAATTAGTTAGTGTTTACTACAAGTCCTGGCCCAAAGTAAGTGCTCACTAAAGGGCAACTGCTATTTTTATTGTTGTATATGCTAGGCTAGGCCTTTCTCAAATAACTAGGTCATTACAAGAGGCACAGAATGTCTTAAGAAAGGACAAGGCTTTGGGCCAAAGCTGGTTTTCATTAACATGGTTATTTATGGTTCCTAGCCCAGCGGCCCACTGCCCTAGGCCTACCATTTCTGGCCTGATGCCATCCTGTGGCAGCTTGGGCTATATCTAAGTGGGCTGTGCTCTCTAGAGAAGCTTGAGAAACTGTGGAGCAGAAAGGTGAAGGAGAAAGGTAAGAGCTGGAGAGGATCCAGTTAACCATCAACGTGCAATTCCTGCCACACACACACCACTCCCATCATTGTCAACTCCCTTGTTGCTTTTCTATGCTTTTGTGTAGCTCTTCCTGGCAGCATTTCACCTACTAATTGCTATTTCTAATGTTTATCCTCTTGGCTCAGTTAAGCAAGTTTGTCCGTGATTTTCATATTTATTTTAAGGCAACGTAGTAGAAAATACTTGACTATGGAGCTTAGTCAGGACACAAGAGAGGCTATATAACATAGTGATTATAAGAGGATTCTGGAGAGAGAAATAGCACCACTGAAAAGCTGTGTGACCCAGGGTATGTTAGTTAATGTCTCTGAGCCTTAGCTCTAAAAAGGGAAAAGTGGGAATAATGATCATCAAGATTAAATGGAAATCACCTAGCACAGTGCCTGGTACACAGTAAAGTGAACATTAAATGGTGACTGTGACTATTGCCCCAGATGAGGAAATGGAAGCTCAGAAAGGGATAACACTCATAGCTATTTGGTGGCTAAGGCTTCTGCTCCTTTTTCCTTTAAAGAGGCCTGCCTCTTTAAAGCCTTTTACAGTCCCTGTTTACACATATTCTGATAGTCTACATACTAAGTTCATCCCTTTTTCAAATGAAGAAAATTTAATACATTTAAATGTATGCTTCCCATATCTGTAGGCCTGCAAGGTCTTATGAGCAACTTGGGCACAGGAATTTTAGCTTGCTTATCTAATATGTGTTCAATTAAAGTTTGGTGAATTTTGAGCAAGCTGTCAATAAACTACCCAAGCTGTATATGTCCCACATCTCTGTGTTACATTATTTCAAGCGGCACAGAAAAATGGAATGCGTGCATGTAGGCCTGGCTTTGAACTCTACAATTGGTTGCTGGGTATAAAGCACCAAAACCTGTTGGACAAATGCAGTGCTGCATAAGCAAGGGGAAGAGGAAGGAGAGGAGGAGGAGTAACAGCAGTAGATGAATTCTGTGTTTTTTGCAGTACTTGGGATTGAACCCAAGGGTGCTCTACCACTGAGCTACACTTTCAGTCTTTTTAATTTTTTAAATTTAGAGACAGGGTATCACTAAGTTGCTTAGGGCATCATTAAATTGTTGAGGCTGGCCTCAAACATGCAATACCCTGCTTCAGCCTCCCAAGTCACAGGGATTTATAGGCATGCACCACTGTACCCAGCTTGAATTTTGTGAAGGGCCTACAGTGTTTTACTTGAAGGAAGTATAGTTTAATTGAGGTACATAAATCTGAGTTTGAATCCCAGCTCCCCAATTACTGACTGTGATCTTGTATCATGTTCCCTAAGCTTCAGTCTCTTCATTGTAAAATTAAGATAATAACAGTTCCTACCTCATAGCTTTGCAATGAAAATGAAATAAGACATAGTCTAGAAATGCAGCACCTTACCCATTATGAAGACTCAAAAAAAGCTATTTGACGTATTGATTCATCAGTAAAATGACATGAATGAAACCATTTACACATCTGCATGAGATTCGAAAGAGGAAGAGATAATTTCTGATAAGAACTAGTTCAACACTTAACTGCCTTTCTCTAACCAAAAAAATATCTAATGTTGAAAACACTAGAAAATTAGCATACTCCTTCTGAATACATAGGAAGAAGCTCCTGTTTCATATGATAACCACACAGTTGCTGGACCTAAGTGAGTCCCTCATAATGTGACTGAATGTCAAAGCCTGATACATATAGAATAGTTGATCATGTTAGTGCCCTTCTCACTCTCCTTCCAAGGGGCTACAAACAAATGCACCAATAACCAACAAGCCCTCAACAAAAAAATATGGAGTCAAAGTGGTTAAGAACTGATCATGGGTGCTGGCTTCCGCAGCACATATACTAAAATTAGAATGATACAGAGAAGACTAGCATAGCCCCTGTGCAAGGATGACACACCAATTTTTGAAGTGTTCCACATTTTTATTGAAAAGATTTCATTGCCACAAGAGCCAAAAATAAATGAAAATTGGGGGAAAAATAAGAACTAACCATGGTAATGACCTCATTAAAATGACCTTGTGCTCTTGACCCTGGTGTGGCTACCCAGCCTGAAGAAACTCTCAGGTTGAGCAACTGACCCTGGCAGGGAAGTCTGTTGTCACGATGCATCACAATGCTACCACACATCCTTTCTTCTCTTTTTGGTGGGATGGGATATAATAGGGTGGGATCAGCTCACAGCACCTCGTCTGAAAAATCTCTTTTCTCCTCTATCGGTTGCCCCAAAACACCATCCTTGTTTGGACATGCACGGAGTATAGCATTCAGGATTCCTTCATTCCCTCTTTTTTAGTGTTCAGACTGGCTGTTTGCCAAGGTAACTACATAGCATTGTCAAAGAGCAGGTGAGTTTGGGGAAGATCTCTTATCTTCTCCAATATATTAACTCCCTGAAAATTAAAGCAGTCAGAGACCCCTTAGAAAGAGCATATAAGTTCTCCCAGGGCTTCCAAATGAAAGTCCCTACAAGACACTGAACAGGTTTGTCGTTTTCAAGGGGAAAAATACCCAGGTTTGGTAGCTGCTTTTTGGAAATTTGAGAAGTGACCTGCAAGTTATGTTTCTAATGTGAAAACCACTCTATTTTTCTTATAGGCAACTGTTGGATATGTGGCATTGCAGTCATGGGTGTGAAGCATCTGGTTTTAACCAGAATGTGGGTGAATTGCTCCCAATTGGGGAGGGCAGGGAAATATGGCTTTGCCTCCTGGTCTTGTGCCTGGCCCACACATGCAAATTCCTGTCTGCAAACTGGTTCTTCTTTGCCAGGATTCAATAGGTTAATGTCAGAAGTTGGCAGAGGGCAGTCTGTGGTTACAGTGAGTGCCACATGGCGACAGGTAAGAACAACAGAAGACTGCCAGAGAAGGGAGCCCAGTTTGACTGAGGGACAGGTAACCTGGCTTGCCAGTCAGGGGAAAGAACAGGCCCTGGTCCAGGCCAATATTGGAGGTCCAGAGAACACAGCCAGAAGAAACCTGGACATGGAAAAGGAGATGACAGCTACCATTTATTGAGCACTTACTCTGTGCCAGGCACTATGCCAGGTCTGGATATGTTCTCTCATTTAATCCCAGCAAGAGCCCCATTTTACAGAAAGGGAAACTTGGCCAAAAGGAAAAGACAGATCAAAACCAGGAATGGGGAACAACACAAATACCAAAGCACTCAGAAGGCAAAAAGTACTTGGGGTCAGTTGCCAAGAAATATTCAAGAACCTGAGTTCTTTATGGCCATAGCATTTGGGATTTGGAGATTTCTAGCTAAGGCACTCCATCCCTTTGGCTGGCTCCCTTATCAGGCCAGCTCTGACTGTCACACCTCAAAGTGGCTGGCAAGAGCACAGGTGGTTTGGCAAGGATTGGAACCAGAAGAGGAATGAACAGGTGCCCTGCCATAGATTCCTTTGAGGAGTCCCTTAATGGCCATATGCCATAAAACCCCAGCTAGCATATCAATGGCAGAAGGATTGATGAGTTGCAATAGAAAAGTTGGCACATGAACTTGAGCTCTGTTTATACTTCTGTAATCAATGCTAATTATTTCCTCCTTTGGAACTAAGATGTTCTGCCATCATAAAAACCTGTTGATAAATGCAAATATACTTGAATTATGGTGCCCAAGACCCCTGCTTAAGCACACTAACAACCACAATGAAAGCATGGGTCCTATCAAAACAAGCACACAATAGAAGTCACAATAGACTCTGAAACATGACTTTCCCATGGAGGCATTCCCCACATACAACATCCTTCATTTGTTCTTGAGCCCAAACTGTAAGTTAGGGAACAAATGATACTGTATTACAGCATCTTACCACTAGAGTGTACAACTCCCACACTCATGGAAAGCAAGCTGCTCTCACCTGCAGAAAGCGGTGCCTACAAGCAGAAAAGTCCAAGTGCATGAAGAGTTAGATCCTGCTTGGTTCTTTGAAGAGCTAGAAAGCATTTCAAAGGTGACATACATCAGAGAGATCCATTTCCACTGGCTGGCTGGGCTGGGAAACGAAGTCAGAGGGGCTGGCAGAGAACCTCAGACAATGACAACACAGTTGCATTCCCAGCTGTGTTAAATGACCAGCATATCATGATTGCCTTTTCACGCAAATATCAATGACATAATCCTAACAGGCTTGCAGTTCTCTCAGTGGTGTAATAAAACAATGACCCAATTCTTTTTGAAGGCTGCAGCAGCAGATATGATGACTGGGTATGTTGTACAGGGCACTACATGTGATGGATGGGGCACAGTAGGGCAGCAAACTGTGTGCTGGGGATTGGAAACCAGCCTCCCAAGCCAAAACTCCTGCCATTCATCTAGTCGGAAAAAAAAATAAAGCTATTCAGTATGAAAGTTCCCACTTGTTCTCATGACGGAGGCCAGTTGGGAAAATGTGGCGCAGCGATGATTGAAGCAAATTCTGTTTAAAAATCCAGCCGGTTTGTGGGTATTTGTTTATTTATAACTCCCCCCACCCCCGCCCCACCGCCCCACACCCTGCTCATTCTGCAAAGGATTTGAGATGGGATTTGAACACTGAAAGTTTGTTTAAGTCCTAAACAGGTCCAGCTACTTTTTCAACTGACGACAAAAATGAAACCCTTTGGATCAAGTGCCTTGCTGTGTAGAACACTGCTTTGGTTTTCTCAGTCTAAGCTAGTCCTCCTTGTACCCTGCGGTGAGAGACACTTCTTCCCCCAGAACACTCCTGTCCCCAGTGCTACACTTTGCCAGGGAAATAAACATGAGCCCATCACTCTGAAACCTGACAAAAATAAAGGAACATGGATTCCCTCACTCATTCATTTATTCAACCGATATTGATTGGTACCCATTCTGTAGCAAGCTCTATTCCAGGCACAGGAGAAGCAAAATAAAGAAGACCCACTCTCCCTTTGCACTTGAGAAGCTCCCAGCCTAGTTAAAAACAACAAAACCCTTATTCTTCAGTATGACTAGTATTGTGAAAGAAACATATCCAAGGGTGGAGTGGGGTAGGGACTGCAGGTGCTATAGATGATTTAGTTTGTGGACTCAGAGTGCCTTGGGTTCAACTTTTGGTTCAGCCTCTCCCTCAATCCATGGCCTTGGGCTCTTCACATAACATCTCAGAGCCTCAATTCTCTCATCTGTAAAATGGAGCTAATAATAGAAGTTATGTCCCTGTGTTATTATGAGGACTAAATGAGATAATCTGCATAGAACACTTAGAACAGTTTTTGGCATGCAGTAAGCACCCGATAAAAATTTAGTTTTTTAATGCTTTTTTATTCCTTTTGTTTAATTTTGTAAGACTGTGTCTGGTGATGAGACTCCAAGGACTGGTTTCTAAAACAGAACTGTTTTCAACAAACTCCTCCCTTTAGCCCCAATTTTTTTTTCATATGGAATGACACAGATCTACCATGATTTTTTCCCCTCAGCAACCATATGTCTGGCAAGAACCACAGGGAGAAAATATTTCCCAGATGGTTTTGCTTATGTTAGCCTACTATGTGCCAAGTACCTTTCTAGATGAGAGGGACACAATGCTAAGCAATACAGACAAGGTCCCTGTCCTCTTAGAGCTTATATTCCAGTGGGAGAGACATACCAGAAACAGAAAATATAAATAGACATAATTACCCAGAGAAGTAAGTACAATTAAGAAAGCATTGCCCACAAAAAGAATATGAGGGAGGGGCAGGAGGGAACTAAATGTAGGTGGCCAAAAACTGCTCTTCTTAGGAGGTAACACTTAAGCAGAGACTGAATGGTTAAACGCCCCATGCTGAAAGCAAGAGCAAAGGCAGTCCAGGCAGAAGAGGCAGCATACATAAAGGCCCTGGGGCAGGAAAAGACTTTGGGAATGTTCCAGAAATTAAAAGAGCAGTGTGACTGAGACAGATCCCTGGTAGTGAGGTAAAGCAGGCAGGATTATATTATTGCATGCATATCGAAGCTGAGAACGCCCAGAAAGATTAATAGACTTACCCACAATGCCTTGCAGATAGTAGACACTCCATAAGTTGTAGAATGCTCAGTCAATAGGGCGGGGCTGAGGCCCTCTGCCTTCCAAATTCAGACTGAGATTTCCCACCACAACTAGGAATCAGCTACCCAGGGAGACTGAAATATACAGTGTTTTTTTTTTTTTTTTTTTTTTTTTGGTGAGTCATAGGCAATGCGCATTAGAGTGCGGGGTCGAGTGGCCCCAGCTGCTGCTTGTGTGTAAGGGGTGGGGGTGGGCTCAGTCCGTGGCTGAAGCTTTTTAGCATGTTTATGATGAGCTGAAAGCACTCACTGCTTAATTTAAAATACGGCTCTCACATACACATACAATTCAGCAGCTAGGGGAGCTGCCAGGAATTGAGGCTAAGTGTAGAAAATTGGAGGATCAGGAATATCAGGTACCCGACCCTGTTTCCCATCTCCAACAGGCTGTATCTGATCCCATCCAGTCCCATATCCTGGAACCAACTCCTGGAGATTAAGACATGGAGGGGGAGAACAGTAGTCTGGAGACTCTCCAAAGCCCTGCACACTAGCCACACTGGTAATGCCACCCAGACTTCAGCTTTCCTGCCTTCCTCTGCCTCCATGCCTCAAAGCCCAAACCAACTCTCTCACTGAAGCCTCCTCCTTGCAGTCCCTCCTCCCCATCCCTGAAATCTGACAGTTGGGAAACCTCATCTGGCCTGATTGGAAACTGCCTGGACTGCATGATGCTTTTTTCCCATGTGTGTATCTTGTCACCCCAACCACATGGGGGCCCTCAGCACACGCTTCAGGAATTGAGTATTTTTTCTATTCCCCACAGTTCTCAGCACAGTTCTTATATAGACACACTGTGTCTCCTGTGTATTTGTCCATGGGTTGCATGACAGTATGATTAGAAAAGGCTTTTGGATGGAGTACCTGCTTTTAATTGAAGAACAAG